GTGGTTCATAACATGACAAAGGTCAAAATGTAGTTTTTCATTGTAAATATTTTTACACGTTGAAACCAAAATTTTTACAAACTAAACTATAACTATAAAAACACAAGAACACTATTTATATTCTGCAAAAGAAAAATCACTGTTCGAAAAATCAACAACGTACTGAGTATGGTACGGATAAGGCTGGCCTCAGTATATAAATAATCGTATGGTTGAGAGTAAAGCCCTTCAACACCTGGCTCGTACTTTTGATTATAAAAATAGTGTTATATTGAGTGTTAAGTACTACTCTGATCTTATCTTTTTTTATAATAATTAAATAAAATGTAGAAAATAGCTAAATTCAAGATGAAACAATCTAGATTTAAATTACTTATCTAAGTGCCTAAATCTCAAATTTAGGATCAAACGAAACAATATAGATTTAGATGAGAAAAATAGATTCTAAAGAAACAATCTTGCCCAAAACATGATGTAGACCTCAGTGTTTTGACTTAAAATAAAATGGCGGTCGATAGTACCCGTCGTTGCCACCAAGAGCGCTGTATCTAAAGACACACCACTCTATGTATTATATTCTAGCTCGTTGGTCTCGCTACTAGACCGAGATAAAAAGGTTTTATGCATTTGTCTAAAAATATTTATTCTTTGTAATCTTTTTTATATCAATAAGTTTGGGAGCAATAATTATGGCTGACTATACTCTCTTAGAAATTGTTCACAAGTTGCTTATTTTTGGCATGAAAATTAAGCTGTTGCACTTTACTTGTGAATCATGTTTGACATAGGAAAAAAAGAAAAACTATCACTTACGTTAATTAAACAATCCACTAATTTACTCAATACATTTTTCATTTTAATTAAAGATGAGCTCGAGTTGTGGCACGAGTTTTGTATCGGTTCATTATCTGAAGAAAAAGAATGATTCCACCAAAAAATATTTTCGTAATGGCAAAAAACACCAAGCCTGGCGTATATGTTACATAGAAGGTATAGATCTCTATGCGATGTGAATAATTTGTTAGAATTAATAAAAACTATTTTCTGAAAGTATAGACCACGTCGCGTGCGATATGCATAAAATTTTGGTCTGAAATAGCCTTTATAAGTGAATATCATTTTGATATCTAAATTTATAGAAGAATCCGTTTTCTAAGAAATTTTTTAGCTACTAATTTATAAGTATTTTTCGTACTTCACATTTTATCAATAATAAAATTCGAGGTCGAGTCGCCGAGTCTAAAGAATTTTATCGATAGTCGGTAAATTCTTTCGGTTTATGTATAACTTTCGAAAATGTTTTAGATAAAAGTCAGTGACGCGTTATCCTATGGCCAAAAGGGTAATTGTCTGGGACTTCCAAACCAATCTAACCAAAAACCAAGAATATCAAAATGTAAATTTAGGCCATATCCCCCTATCCACATACCCTAGATGCACCAAGGTCGCGTTAAAAACAAACGAGGATAGCAGGGGATTCCCCAAATAAAAATGTTTGAAGTCAACACTGTTCATGGAGTCCCCTAATTCAAATTTGCCTGTGATCCCATGAGGCTATAACGCGCTACTGATCACTGATAAAAGTTTGTTTGCTTTTGATATATAATTAAAATATGCTATAAAAATAGACGTTTACAATTAAGAAAGTAAAGTTAACTCCGTTTTTACCGATTGTATCGTCATCTGTGACGAAACCGATAGACAAGACAATTTTTGGTTCAATGAAGTTTTTGCAAGATGCGTGTTATTCGAGTTATTCCAGTGGATTGATTAAAACAGACCACTTTGTAGACATGTACTGTATTTTTTTTTAAATTTTTTTCCCCTTTGTACTTCACATCTAAATCAAATTAAAAAACTATGAAATGGGCAAACTGAAAATAGCCTATATTGGATGTAAAGGAAAAACAATGCCCATAAAACGTTTATCCTGTACAAGTAGAATACCTATATACCATGAAATCTTCAAAGCAGTGGCGTGCCGTCCCTGGAAGCTGTGGAAGCGCCCCTTCTCTTTATTTTTTAAAATATAAATACATATCGTGCGATTACTGTATTTTCATATTTTAACGTACTTTGAATTAATTAAAATTAATACAGTAGAACATCGATTATCCGGACCTCTATTATCCGGATTTTCGATTATCCGGATTGTTCAAAATAAACAAAAATTTTACGAATTTGCTGATTTGCACTTGGCGAATTACGATACTGTTTATATACGTGATGGAATGCGTAATTTTTTTTTGTTTCAACAACGTCTCACCCGGCACAGTGGCCGTAAACTCTTAAATATATTTTGCGTCGTAATAAAAATATAACTTGACATACGTATTTATAAATAATTTTATTTTCAAATTACATCATTTCTATGATCAAGGACATCGTAAGGCATGGGCAACATGGGCCACCGCCTACGCCTCGCGGTCCGAAGGGCCTCGTGTTTTGAAGGTTTATGCATTACTTAAAAGCCGCTAACGCGACGAAAAAATTTTACTCGTCATAAAACGATAAATAGTTTGTCAAATTTTTATTCATAAAAATTCAGTTTCAACTGCTTTTTATTTTATAAAACCCGTCTTCTTGCGCCACCAGAGGACCTTTTAAACAATAGGTAGTTTGTTAGCGTTGGTCAGTAGTAGTTTAAATTTAATATGAACGTTTGTTTCTTGAAAATTTGATCACGATTTAAATTCACAGTATTTACTTTTAATATTACCGATGTGTCATCGAAAAGAAAACGTGTTGTATTATCATTAAAAGACAAATTAAAGTATTTGTTTCGATATCCGAATTTTTCCTTATCTGGACTACCTTCATCCCCAATTAGTCCGGATAATCGAGGTTCTACTGTATTTTATTATAACCGCATTATGTATTTTATTACAAATGTATATACATGTGAAAAACAATGATAAGATTGCTATTGTATATTCGTATATGCATATTTCCAATGGAAGCGTTATATTGGCGAATACGGGACAGTTTCCACGACCAAAATATTTGAATGGTGTAAAGCAGCTTTACACCATTCAAATATTTTGGCGTGCGCATGCGCTTTACAGACCTCACGCGATTGAGCTGGTGAATGCTACATATCAAAATATTGTATAACGCTTCCAATGATTATATCCAGGCCAGCATAGCTTCCCCATCATCAAATGTCACCGCACGCCACTGCTTGAAAGAACAATTTTAAATTTTAAAACTGTTTTGAAAATTTACCAAATCGCGTATTTTTCGCGATAAACCAACACACACGGAGAATAATTTGTTAGTTGTTTTTATGCTCTACAGTACGTTTGATCAAATTAGTAATTTGTGAAAAATAACGAGCACAACTGGAGATAAGCTTGCGCACTATCCAGCCATTTGACCCATAAAATGGTTTATAAATACAATCAAAACTGGGACTTAATTCGTTCCTAAAAATTGTTCGGAAAAAAAGATTTGTTCTCAAACCAAAACCAATTTTTCCATAAGAAACAATATAAAATGAAAAAAACATATAAAACAATGGAGTCAGATTAATTTTCAATTCTTTCTTAATAATTGTATTTTTCTACAATACAATTAAGTAAGAATTGAATATAATGTAATGTAAATCAGTTCCCGATCACTGACACAAAGTCTTTCTTATCTTTTTAGGTGTATAAAATGTATAAAAATGCCTACAAATGCAATATAATATGTTATCTATATCCATTATTTTTTTCACAAATTAAAGACAAAGTCGCTCTAAAATTATTTCTTTTTTAGACGATTACCATTTTTACAGTGTTCTAGAACAAATAATAGACAGCTGGACCTTCCTTTTTAGGCTACACAACTGCCTACATTTAAAAAAGTTCCTTAAAAACACAAAAAAACCAATAAAGATTAAAAATTCTTCTTTAAAATTGGAATAGTAAATCTTGCGACGTCTTGTTAGTTCATCCTTATCTACGTGGGTTTCTGGCTCCTTTTATCTACTGTGGATTAGCGCTGACAAATGTAGATTACGCCAAGATATCCCTCTGGTGACGAATATTAACGATATATTTGTATTTCCGTCGGATGAATAAATTATTTTTTTCACAAATTAAAGACAAAGTCGCTCTAAAATTATTTCTTTTTNAGACTCAACTCTGCCTGAATGAAATACAGTCGACCCCCCCCATAACACGGTAGATACGTTCCGTTATTTGTGAAATTGATGTTCTAAGAGTCCTTGAATACATGAGCCAATCACAGCCCAGCACGTATGCAGTTTACGGACTACGGCTGTTTGAAAGGTTTTCTTCCATAAAATTAATCGATTCTAGACTAATTCGACTCAACATTTCCGAAATACGTATAATTTTTTGGGAATAATCCATATAAACTATGCTATAAACAAAAAATCGTAAGTAATCTTACGATTTTTTGTTTATAGCATAGTTTATATGTTGTCGAACGGTGCAAACCGTTCGACGACGGCATTCCTTAAGCTTGTTTTCGTCGTGGAGCTTGTCATCGAATGGCGCTGGCGTGCTTCCTGATAAATTATGTTTTTTTGCGAAAAATTCGCTGAACTTTGGAGACATCAGTAATATAAATAAAATTTTTATGGATGTTAAATAATAAATGGTTTTTAGTAGTCCGCTGCTCGTTTAAACTCAACGGTTTGTACAATATCTGCTATTGGTCTAGATTTGACCAATCCTGTCGCGACACGAGTCGGCGATGACGTTTTATCGAATTATATGAGTTTTTTAGCATGTTTGTACGAATACGGTCGCATTTTTTTCTCCGTGATATAGGAATCCGAACTATAGGAACCCGTGTTATAGAGGGGTCGACTGTATAACCAAATCAATCAAGACAGACAAGTACTTTATACACACTGTCCGAAATATTAAGTTTCAATTGCTTTGATTTAAATTAATTAATTAATTTTGATTTTATTTTTAATTTTGGTTTCAGTGTAAAGGCAAGAATTTTTATTTTAGTTTTTTCGTTTTAATTAACTGGCTATCTAGTATTAATAAATATTAAAGTTATAATATATGATATTATATTAATAAATTTTTGTTATTTAATTTGAGTTAAGAACCTTTAAATACCGATTCGTGGATACAAATTAACGCGATTTTTATTAATTAATTTGATTTGAATTCAATTACGACGCGTACCCATAAACGGAAGTAGTATCTTACACGCACGAGCATTGAAATCTAATTTAAATAGCAACGTCATCGATGGTTCGTGTCGTGATGTCTAATGACGTGAAGCAATATCGGCGCCACTAACTTCTGAATCGGTAGTCCCGTCGTTGGTTGGTCGGGTCGTATATGGAATTGACCGTCTCTCTCTCTCTAATCTGACTGTGGCCGGCTCTTGCCGAGTAACTCGTTCGGCAACCGAGGCGTATATGTCGTTGAAAATTTTGTTCATAAACTGAATTTATCTTGTTATAGTCAAATCCTCGGATTTTGTTCGAAACCTGAGGTTTGACTGTAACAAGATATCATCAGCAGCTTCGGCGATAATCTGGTGTAATTATTATTTACAAGTTACATATATTTTCAGGCCAAGGATGTGGTTTTCCAGGTGTTCCAGCCAACGGCGGTATTCAGCCACCAAAAGAGTTATATCACGTGGGGGAAACGGTTACGTATTTTTGTGAAGACGATTCCGTCATAATGGGTTCTTCCCTCCGAGACTGCAGAATCGACGGAAGATGGTCAGACGAAATACCCGTTTGCAGTGAGTCGAAATTTATTATTATTTTTCGTTTGTCTATCAAAGATAAATTTTATGGAAATTTGCAGCCACTCCGTTACATCCTTTGGGGTCACCTCTAGCTGCGCAATATCATTTACAGCACCGTCCTCAATTAGCTATAGATGGAGATAAAAACACTTGCACCCGTATAAAACCTCGTATGACGCGTTGGTGGAGAGTCAGTCTGAACGACTATCACACGGTTCAGGCAATTGCCGTTACTATGCCGGATACAGCAGGTAATTCTGATTAATCACTGATGATGATGCTCATTGCATTGAAGGTTACAACAATCGAAATTCTTTTCAGTCAAACATAAATTTATCCTTTATGTCATCTTTAAAAATAGCACCAGTTTGGTCTACTTGAAATGTGCCACGTTCGAAGGAGTCTTCGGTAAGATTTCAAAGTGTAGATTTTTTTAAATATTGCGATTTGGATGAATAAATAATTATTGTTTTAGTGTCGCAGACTCTTCTCCTCTCTTGCGCCGAGGAACTGAGAGGAAATATAATTCATATAGAAGACACTAGAAGGGTACGACAAGAATTTGAGTTATGCGAAATTGAAATTTACGTAAAACGAGGTAAAGATTTTTTCCTCTTCCATATTTCAATTTTCGAGATTTATATCAATTCTTTTTACAGATAAATATAAATGTGGAGAGCCGGACAGACACGTTGGTTCGCACGTGGCAAAAATATCACCGGGTCGCGCTCATTACAGTTGTTCGTCCGGATTCATGTTAAATGGAGCGAGAGAGAGAGTGTGTATGCCCAATGGACAATGGTCCGAAAGTGCACCAAAATGTTTGGGTAAGATAAATGTGGGTAAGGCGTGATTTGAGCAATCGTAATACGAAGAAGGAATGCTTTAAAAATGCGTGCGCATTTAATAATTTCAAGTGTATTTATTGCATTATTATATTTACAGAAACAAACTGTTCAATTCCACCGCCCATTTTACACGGAAAAGTTGACATTTTCGCGGTACAATCGGGACATCCATCATCCGGAAATTTAGTTTTATATTCGTGCAATGTGGGTTATATGCTTTCTGGAAATTCGACAAGAATGTGCGAAAACGACGGAACGTGGAGTGGAAAAGCTCCAACTTGCCACCGTAAGTGACTCCATAATGATGATAATTATATATTTTTAAAACAGAATTTATTATTATTATATTGTTTTAGCGATTTATTGTGGAAAACCTGAAATAGACGATGATGATTTGGATTATACGCTGGTAAATGGTACTACTACTTACGGAAGTTTAGCAGAGGTGTATTGCAAAAATAACGATGCCATAGATTACACCATTAGTTGCCAAGATGATGGAAAATGGAGCGAGTTGGTAGAGTTGAACTGCACTTACGGAAGTATGTTCAATTATTTTATAAACGTACTAAATTAAATTACCAAATTTGATACCAATTGTTTAATGTCTTCGTAACAGGCGCAGCAGTTATGCAGTCGTTTAAACCGGAATTGCAATTCACAGAAAGTTAGTAAGATAATTTTGCACGCATACAATATAAATCGATATTTTCGTTAACGTTTCTCACTTTCAGGCATTCTGATTGCTCTTGTGTTTGCCGGAATAGCCATTGCCATCGTGACAGTTTCTCTTATAGTGTGGCAAAGGTCAGTGACGATGTTGCATTAATTTCGGGACCGAATCTAAAAAGTCGGATTTTGAAACAGTTCTATTTTCAGAAAAGATCCGACAACAATGACGGAAATTGATCCTCCAGGACCAAAAGAAGTCATCAGTTCCGAACCCGTGTCCACCGATCGTCAACCTGTTTTGGAACCGCCCCTCATCACTTCGACCAAGGATGCGGAGGAAGCGTGCAAATCTGCGGAAGAAGTGCCCAAAAGACTGAATGATGCATGGTCCGCGTACGATAGGCCCAATATGAAAGTGCGTAGTTTGCCACTGCCACCCAGCAGGAAAAGTTCTGCGGCAGGTTCGAAAGAGAATATTTACGAAGAGATAGCATTGTGGGCGAGGAGGGCTATGTCCGTGGGAGACACTACAGAAGAGGACAAGAGCTCGGGTAGGAACACTTCCAAATCTACAAATGCCGAATTGTTGGCACTCTACGCAAAAGTGGACTTTGAGAAGAAGAGGAAGTCGCGACAGATGAAAGAACGATCCAATGATGATAAGCCTGAAGGGGGACCTGCAATCATCAATGATTCCCAACCATTTTTATTAAGAGAACTTCCGCCGATTCCGACAGAAGAATCATCTTCGGAAGAGTTAAGTGAGACAATATCCATCGATATAAATAGAACTTCACACGAAAGCAAATACAATTTGACTCACGATAAACATTCCGAAGGGACTTCTTCGTCAGAATAAAGGTCGTGTGATATCGTCCTGCCAAATTTGTAAATTCGTATTCATTATCTTTTTTAATCCCTGCGTACATTCATTTATTTAATTGGATTAAAAGAAACGTCGGGTCATCTGAATGGTTAGAGGAACGATTCATTTTCGCTGAAATTAAAATGCAATCCGTTATACAATTAAAAAAGGATGTAAACAGTTTTAAATTATAAGCGATTTAAGGCTCAATTATAAAACACAAGACAATTTGTCCAGAGAAAATTTGACGTGATTCAGGTAATTAGTAAAATTCGCTTTATTTATAAAAATTCAATTTAAAATTTAATGAGATTACTCTAGAGAATTGCTTAAGAATTAATCCGTATTTTAAGTATGAAGTCTTATATTATTCTGAGTAAAACCAGGTGTTTTTTAAACAAATACTGTATTCCCTCTCCACTCAAATATTATAGAATTCGTCCTTTGTATATTGACACAAATGAGAAATTCTAAATTAGACAAACATTTCGGTCTGTCTCTGGAAATATTTTAATTCCTGTATTATTTATTTTTAAAAAACCTTTATTTTAAATATTACTTTTAATATTACTTCCAACTTTTAAACGTGAAAGAAATCGTTTTCATGGCGATTTTACTGGACCATTATTTTAATTCGATCGTTGAAAATAACGCTGGGAAAAGATAGTCTAGACAAAAAAGATTTACTGAAATTACACTGATTTATGAAAAATTTCATATTTCAGATTAGTCAACCATTGGATATTTACAACTTTCATATATAAAACGGAACTTTCGTGAGAGGAATTTTGGTAAAACTCATCGGAAATTTTATTGAGCGAAAAAGTATAAATTATGATAAAATTAATGAAAAATTTTAACCGTATTGTAATACATTTTGTGAAAGTAGTCGTCTCCCATTTTCTGAATTGCAAAAACAATTGTGTGATGCGCAACTGACTTATAATTTCATTTTGACCGTTATTTCGAGAACATTTAATTTTAAACAAGTAATTACAGTCGAACTACCTCTAAACAGCGGCCTTTTTTTTAACCAAAATGCATACAAAAACCTCCAAATAACGGCCAATTTTTACGTTTCCGTCCATGGCCACTGTCCGGAGGTTTGACTGTATAACAATTACACGTGAAAATTAAAGGCATATATTAATTTACTTTCCTTTTTTTGGATAATTAAACACTAAATTCCTCAAACAAAATCAAAAATCTATCAACTACGTGAACATAATATTAAGAATTTTAATATTTCCTATCTATAGAGAACTTACAATTATCAAGAAGTTTTGTGCAAACAAAAAAACATGTCTTCTTTTTTAAACTATAATTGACAGAGCAATTTTGATCAACTGTGCCAGAATTTTTTGACGATTTATTTAACTTTTTACATCAATTTTACTCCCCAGTTTTCATCTTCAAAATCATGATCAAAACAATGATAAATAGAAAAGGAAGGAAGGAAGGAAGGAAAAATATATATTTTACAACACATTTCCATAATTTCAAGCAGATGTCCGAGAGAGTTTACATCTACTTAATTACTAAATAATAATTACAGCATACTTTGTTGCTTGTTAAACTAATTAATCTATTACTGGAACTAATTAAAAAAATAGAAACTTCATGGCACTTGAGCGAGAACCGGAAAAAAATTAATAGTATATAAATATACGTACCGCAATCTTAAAGAAGAAATGTTATGGCAATTGCCAAATTATACAGCTGCTATAAATCCTAGATATAAACAGAATTAGTTACCTGAAACAGTATACTATACGCTAGACGAATAAAAAGCCATACTTGATTATTATATACGACGTGATCTGCGTATCACATCGGGATGACCGCACATCCCAGCAATATTGCATTCCCGTTTGATTACGCTTTGAAAATTGTCTTATAACAAGTTGTCAATAAAGAAACCATTTAGTGCTTGATTAACAATTGAAGCTGTTTGAAAATGTCTTGAATTTTTCGTTTTTTAAATAACTACACAAAATTCTCACATCATTATGGAGGGAAAAAAATAGTCATTCTAAGGGAAGTAAAAGTCTAATGCCGATACTTAAAAGAATTTTAGTAATAAAGATTTCTTTTTGGTCGTTTTGCAAAGTTATAATAAACTAAAATATCACTTAAAAAAGCCTAAAAATTTGCTGGGTATAAAATAAAGACACATCACAGTACACTTTTCCCTTTTAATTCCCCCTCCCTTTAAAAACTGACAAGTCTGCTCTTAATTGCTTTGCATGAAACCTTACACTGTTTATGCTTACTCAATGGAAAAGAGGCACAGATTAATAAATCTACAGGAAGCACAGCCACATTGAAACAATCATTGACTTAGAATGTTTACTACTTGATTCTGAAAATACTCTGCCCCGAAATGATGTGTACAATCCGGGCAAGAAATGGGAGAGGGCACATAAGATCACAGTATAAACAGTGGTGCAAGCACCAGTTATTCTTACTTTGTGAAATTATACTAATGATTTTGTTTAGAAATAAAAATAAAGATTCCTGTCCATTTAACTCCTGTGGTGCAATGCCCGGATGAGCATTGCACACTGTGGCACAATTTAAAAATGGCCAAGATCTTTGCTCCCGTCACACAATGTACAAGTTTTAATTCACGTTAACTGCTTGACTGTTCGTTATCCTTGGTCGCGGAACGCTTGAGAGAATCCAGATATTCTTGCTGGGATTCGGCGAGTACTCGTGCTAAAATATCAGAATCTTCCCAGTCGGTAAGCCCTGAAAACATAATAAAAAATTATTAAAGTTACCATACATTTAATTGGATGAATTAATTTATAGCATTATAAAAAATTCCAGGATGATTGATTATACTCAAGTTCATAAAAAAATCTTAAAAAACGAATAAAGTATCTTCTCACTTTGTCTTTTAACATTTCAGGAAGAAGTCAACTCTGCCAAAAATCTATGATATTGAGGCTCTCATCCATCTCAATATGCAAAATTTTCTATTTTTATAAACATTAATTATACATATCATCCTAGAGTTCCCCAGATGCTTACATACCAAGATCTTGTTTTAAAAAAACATTAAAGAATGCAGTCTGCTCATCCTCTCATTATATTCATGGAGGAAGTGGTTAAAAAATCATGTCTTACTTTCATTATTTATATTGCATATTTTTATTGACTCTTAATGAAACTCACACTTTAAAATTCCAGCAGAACAAAACATTTTATTTGCATCTAATGTTTTTGTCCATCTCAAGAGGACAAAAACATTAAATCATCAAGAGGACATCACACCAATTCTGGAATTGGAGTAACCTGATCAATGTCTTGTGAAATCATTTACATATACATAGTATTAATAGGTGTGTGTGTGTGTGTGTGTGTGTGTGTGTGTGTGTGATGATACATTTAATTTCAATTATGAGAGAAATATATTCTAATAATTACTTCATCTATCAATATCAGGATTCAACATAATCAAAGAATAATTACTAAAATTGCTAAATCAGTTTTTATTTTAATGTAATTTGTATAATCGAAATTCCAACTGAATTTTTAATCCATCTCATAATAAATAATAAAAGTATCAAATGATATTTGGTACTCAAAATGAGGCTAGTTACTAGAATTTTAAACATATTTAACCAGGGCAGAAAGTCATCAGATACTGTATTTAAATATGTTACATTTAATATTAACAAAGATTAAAATTTAATTGTCATATATTACAATTATTGAATGAAGACATCAAAATTTTATTTTAGAAAAAATAAATTTGGACAGATTGAAATATAGCTGAACAGATTTGTGATTGAGCTAAATAAATATTTATATCATCATATTCTAATTTATATAAAATAAAATGTACATATAATTTATTTATTAATGATAGTTAATAAGAGCATAATGTGTCATTATTCCAACCGTATAAAAATTCTAATTTATTAACTAATTGTGCTTGTTAAATGTAATCCTTATAACTTACGTAATCCTTTTTTAAAAAAAGAATAATTATCATGATGATGATTAGAGATGAAGAAATAAATTTCACAATTTTACCTATAAATGTTTATTGTCACTTTTTTTACATGTATGCAAAGAGATCTGTGTATGCCTGTGACATTTCAAGTAGATGCAAGATATTACACTGCATTAAATCCTGCTTTGTGGAACAGAATTGTAAGAAGTAGAAATAATAGGATTTTCTACTTGTATAGAAAAGACAAATTCAGAATTTCCACTATTGGTTGATCTAAGACAGCAATTTGCCATGTGTTATAAACAGTGGCATACCCAGAATCTGAACTAGAGGGAGACAACTCAGTTTCTTTGAGTGCAAGAATAGCAGCAAACAGCGAAATAGTTCTAAGATTTCATGACAGATGGCTCTAGGCTCTAGTCCAGTCACAATATTCATTATTTAAACTGATACTAAATCGATAAGTCTAGGCTGTGTGTGTGTGTGTCAATTATTACACTTTTATTTTTCTTGTAGGGAGGAGCAACTGCACCTCCCTGGATACACCGTTGGTTATATATATATAAACAGAAAAGACCACAATATTCAGCTGCTAAAAAAAAAAAAAAACTATCATCATGAGACATCAGAAGGATTAGTTAACAAAACGAGGCTATGATAAAATATATTTTTTTTAAATTTAAATAAGAAAGGGGTTATATACCTGTATAAAAGTGAAAGTAAATGTAAATTTTTATAAAGGTTGATTAAAAAAGAAATACATAGAATAACTATGATAACATTACAAAAAATTTTTAAAAACCAAAAAGGTGTGTATATTTGAGTAAAAATAAATGTTTTAAAATGTTGAGTAAATAAAGGAAGGCCTTTTAAAATAAAATTAAAAGGACTTATTAATCACTTTAAAAGCTTTACTGAAATATATATTCCTCAACCAACTTAATATTTACAGATACAGGATGTACAGTGCATTATAAAACATGGATGGTGAATGGGAAGTTGGAAGATATCCACAATGAACCTGTCTAATTTTGTAGTAATGGCTGCCATCTTGTAGATCAAAATAATGAATTGAATATATCCATTGCACTTCCAATTAAATAATTACCCAAACAAAATAATTGAAAAAATGGCTTAACAACAGTAATATAGAACAAACAATATGACCAACTATGAAGTAATCTACAAAAAGCTGGATTATATTCCTATAGTATTTGAAAAGATACAAAAATTCTTTAAAAAAAAAAAATTGATTAAAGAAACTGCCAACCAAACATTATTATGTATGTGAAACTGAAAAAACACGAAAAACTAGGATTAGAGAACATCTTCACGCAGTCAAGTACAATTATACCAATTCCACCAGTTACCATACTTTGTAATCAAGAGGGCTGCAAGGTCTCACTGAATGATGCTAAAATTCTTAAAAAGAAAACTTATGAACATTTAGAAATCATTAAAATTAAAGAAAACAGAATAAATTTAAATGCAGGAATAACCATCAATGAGATATGGCAGCCAATACTACAAAATTAGATGAGCCCTTTCACCACTCATGTTTTATAATGCACTGTGTATTCTGTGTCTGTAAATATCAACTTGGTTGAGGAATACAGATATCTCTTGCTTAATGCAAGATTTGATTAACACACAATATTAATTGTGGCAATCCCTTTAAATACACAGCAGAAGTTTTAACATGGCTTTAACAGCTTTCATTATGAAATGTATTTTTCTCAGCAAGTAAGGTATTGGTTAATTTGCTATTTTCATGATGAGAGTGATTTCCAACATAAATTTGTAGTTTAATTATGACAGTTGTGAAATTTAACACATTACTGCTAAGGTTATATTGTATTCTTTGTTTAGAAGCTCATTTAAAAACTTTACTTCACATTTTGTTTGCATAAAATAATATTGATGTGCATGCAGATAAAATGCATATTGGGCATATTATGTATGCTTTTTAAGTTTTGTAAAGAATATAATACTAAACAGTAAAAAAAAATACTCATAGTGTGAGGGAAGATGCTATGCTCTTAAATGTCAGATGTGCCAAATGTGATTTTGTAAGTTTCATTTGGGAACTTTTCAACTAAAGGATACAAAATGTATGGAGCTCCAAAAACTGTTGTTGTTAAAAATTGATAATTAGTAACTTGTGAACTTGCAACAAACTTTAGTGTGTTATCAATATGATGATTGTGTTCCACATAAATTAAGTGAAAAAAACTGGATCAAGGATAATTTTGTCTGACAAAGATAGGCAGCTCTAAGGTTTCATTTTATTTTTAAATTAGTTACTCATTTTTATCATAGAAAACTTTTTTACAGATGACAAAATTAAAATAAAAATATTCGTTATTGATTGAATATTTGTTCTAGAACAGAAGTGGTGAACCTATGGCACGCATGCCCAAAGTGGCACGTCGAAGAAATCATCCGGCACGCAACGTTTTATACAATATCGGTTTATCATCTTTTTCAATCAGGTTCTTTACATTTACTCTAATTACAGCATATTATTTTATTTATTTAAATATAGTTTTTTAAAACTATTTTCGTCCTGTGGGCACTAAGAGATCTTTTTTATTTAGCAAACTCCAAATAAAATAGTTGGATGGTGAAGAATGGATCACCACCTGAAAATTTTCTGGGGTTTTGATCTTGGGTTCACAAGAGCGATAAGCTACCACTTTGACCGCTTGGCCATTCCACCAAATTTATATATAGTTACTACAAGTCTAAAACTTCTTCATACATAATCATTTTTAAAGAAAAGTATGCTTAATATGCTTACTATGTGGCACGCAGACTCAAAAAGGTTCACCATCCCTGTTCTAGAAGATTGCAATTGTTTGGTCAAGTAAGAGTATTTAATTAATGCAATTTTGATATACACAGTAGCATTGAGGGATACATGTATACAATGCAGTGAAGTTTTTAAAGAGATTAAGAAGTTCTTTTTTATTTTATTTTCAAAGGATTTTCAATATTTAACTCAACATTTTAAAGCATTTACATTTATTTTTACACACCTTTATGGCTTTTAAAAATTACTTTGTAATTTTATCATAGTTTATGTTAGTTTTATTTTATGTATTTCTTTTTTAATCAACCTTTATAAAAATTTACATTTACTTTCACTTTTATATAGGCATATAACCTCTTTTTTATTTAAATTAAAAAAAATATTTTATTATAGCCTTTTGTTAACTTAATTCTATTAATCAGATTATGAATACAAAGTTGATTTATCCAATGGTCACTAGCATAATTTTAAGAAATAGCCAAACATCTAAAATAAAGGACTGAAGAGGAGCAGAAGGCACAAAATGCATTTTCTGGTATAATATAATTGGAGTTGTCAATTATTGATGTGTTCTTTGTATTATTTGTTCTCTTCAGCAAAATTTATGCTATTACTAAGGAACTATCAAGAGAATGAGTAGCAATTGAATAATAAATGATCTAATATGTTTATAGTTCAAACTGGTTTTACCATTTTTTCCTTATGATATGACTAGTCTTATTATTTTGTATAATGGAATAAACATTTTGTTTGTGATCTATGAAAATAACTGTGCCCATTTAAAAGATGGCTGGAAATATGATAAATTTTGTCCCAATCTTACAGTTTCTTTATAGAATATATTACAGTTTTAAAATGACATGGTCTATATACATCACATTATAAAATATATTGGTACATTGACATTACTTAACTATTATGAATAGCTGGAAATCATATTTAAGTTTTCATTACCCTGTCATAAAATATGTAACATAGTGAAAGTATTTCATTGTATTCTACTAATGATACTTCAAGTTTATTATTTTTAAAAGGAATGCCTTGAATATACTAAATACTGAAATAGATATACAGAACTTACTACTAATGGTAAAAGAATATCACTAACTAATAATAAAATTATTCAGAAAGGAATATAAAAACAATTTAAACAATCTTGTGCAAAAATAAGAATGTATTTGATAATGTTTAATATTAAAAAATTTGGCAATTTATGTTTTATTACTACTTTTTTAAGTTATCCATTGTGGAAAAAATTTTAATAAATTTTGCAAACAAGCCATTATGTTACAGTTAGATCAATCAATTGACATAGTATCTTACCAATAAAAAGTGTATTACAAATTGATTGACAAATAAGATTTTAGTTATGGAGATCAAAAGTAAAATAATGATTTTAAAACATAATTTGCCTAATGGTAATTAAGGTTAAAATTAAAATTAAAGATTAAATCTCTTCTCTAACATATTTAATTTTAACTTAATTACTATCCAGTGAAAAAATTTTAAAGATTTGTCGTCAGGGAAAGCTAAAAATCTACATTTACCAGCGCTTACCTTAAAAGATAAAAAGTTCAAGAAGTAATTAAGTCCCAATATGGAATGGAGAGAAAGGAGGTGTTTATGTTTCTAGTCAGATATTTTTTCCATTGTTTTTGAAGGGAATTTTTTTAAAAATTTCAGTGGCCAAAGCAGCGTACAAAGAAAGGTTGGCTGTCAAAAGCAGTATTCTGGATAAATGTAAGTGAATAAGTGGTGACTGTTCTCTAATAGACTGTCTTCAATTTTAATTAAACTTATGGTTTATTACTATTTATTATTCTTATTAAAGTTTGTTAAATAAAGCTTCATTAATTTAGATTCTCAGCTTTATAAACACATTTATTATACAATAATGAACATTTTGGAGTAAAATAAGCATTTTTTTTTAATGATTTAATTTTATAAATAGATACGATACATAAAGAGATTTCAGTAGTTAAACCTATTATAAAATTTTAAACACTTCTTACAGCATTTCATGTAAGTACATTAAATGTTAATTGTATTATTGTTCTTCATTTGATTAGAACAGACCACTAGAAAACAAAATTCAGTGATGACTTGCTTAACTTTCCCAGCAACATTTAAAACTGTGTTTGTATGTTGTGCCATCTGTTAGAATATTTTATTATTAAAAACTTTTTATATGTTTAATTATTATAAAGTGGCAAAAAGCTTAATTTTGAGGGTAGGGATGATCTTCATAAAAAATTGCAAATGCTAAAACCAAGTAAAATTATCATTATGTCAGACTATTTGACATATGACATGATCTCCTTTATCTCCCCACCCCATTGACCTTTAACCACCAAAGTTTAATAGCATCAATTCTCCAATACACAAACTTCCCTGCAAAATTTTCGATAAGAGTTATTAAGCTTCAAAGAGGGTGAATGAAACTGTGTCCCCCACACAAACATCTATACATACAGAAATTACCCCTGAATTTTTTTGCAGTTTTAGACATTTCAAGGTGTCCAAGTCCAAAAATGTAAAAATCTTGGGGATAGTTTTTGACCATTCTGTTATCTGTAACAGCTGGAAAAGTAAAAATGAAGTGGAAAAAAATCATTAAATAATGGTCTATATATGAGAAATGTATGAAAAGAAAATTTTTTCAGTCATACATGAGGAATATGGAAAGTTCACTCACTTCTGAGTGAAATTTCCACATTCAATTTGGATTTGAATTTGAGACAATAAAATGGAAAAATATTGAATTAAATTCTTTACTTCCGAAATATCAGTATTATTTTTTAAGTCTGAATTATTCTAATGATAAAATGATAAGACTGTTTTAGTTCTAATCCAATTTGATCCAACCTTATCATTTGATCATTGTTTTTCAGATATATGATTTAATTTGAATAAAGTTGTTTGCATTCAACAAATCCTATTTTAAGGTATATTTAATGCAAGTTTCAAATTAAAAAAAAAAGTAATTTATAGTCATATCAACAAAAACTTAATTAAGAACTTACCAAAAATGCAAGGTGGTAATCTGTTCATAAAGCTAGCAGTTTCAATAAGTGAAAATTCATCTTCCATTAAAATAGATTGATCTGCCGAAGCAGAAGCTGTGGTAGTGGCCATTGCATTTTCATCACGATTATTTAAATTGAAAGCTTCATTATTCAATCCTGAATTGCTTGCTTTAGGACTGGATACTGAGGTTATAAGTAAAACAAGGAAAAAACAATTTGCAACAAATGATATAATTAATAATTATCATTGTAAAATTAACAGACCTTTCTCTGGAGATTTTAAGATTTTTTCTTCTACATGACTTTCAGAAACTTTAGGACTATTAGATGCAGAAAAGTTACTTCGAGTTCTAGGAGATATTCGTCCAGTAGATTGCAGTGGTGACATTCCACCATTATTCATTTCAGGCGATCCTAAACTCGAACTACTTGTAGCTGTAGCTGATCGAGCCTAAAAGATAATTAAGTGTATAAATATTCAATTAAAGCATTTATTTTTATCAAAAATCAATTAATTTGATGAGAACTTACAGTAAATAAATTAGCATTTAAAGTTTTACTATTTATGTTAATTGGAAAAGTAAAATAGAGCAGATTTGAATACAGGAAATCCTTGTTAATTCAAACTCAGGTAGTTTGAAATTCTGTTAGTTCATAATTGTACTTTTGTCCGAGCTCGGAATATAGAAATTTACACGTTAAGGAATTTGGTTAGTTTGAAATACGACTACTTTAAAGTTCAAAGTGAAAATTCTGTCCAAACTGTGATATGCATATGTTAACTTGTTCATTTAGTTCAAAGTGCCTCCATACCATAAGAGAACAATAGACCAAGAACAACTCTAATCTGATCAATATGGCTTTGCTTTTACAGTAATACATTTTTCGGGTGTAACCTCATCCATGGACTACCCTTTTCTTTCTCGTTTTAAAAAAATATGACTGGTTTTCGGGAATGCAAAATTGGGCTACACGTAACAGATAATTGTATATAGATATTTGTAGGACTCTAGGCTAATATATTCAAGCAACTTACTACTTTTTGAGCAACAGTTAGAAGAATTCTGCTTTACTTTTATAAAACCTACCCAGGAACCTGTGAGGTTCTTACTGGATATGTGCTGTTTACCTTCACATTAATATTATTATTATTATTCATTTTTAATTAATGAAAATAGCATTCTGTATATGTATCATATTCCATTTACTTAATAAATTACATCAGTTACATGGCATTTGGCCAGGGCTGTGGAGTTGGAGTCATGGAGTTTTAGTCAGAGTCAGAGGCATCAAAAATCTCCCGACTCTGACTCCTTTTCATTTTCCAAACTTGTTATGTATTAATACAGGTAACCCCCGTATAACACGGTAGTTACGTTCCAAAAAATTGCCATGTTATGTGAATCCATGTTATACGAAACAAAGAACTAATACGAAAAGAAGGGTTAGGTTCCAAAAATTAAAAATCATGCTAATATATTTTCATAATTAAGATAAATATCTTCATTAAAATTTTTTTAAGTGATACATATTAATATAAATTAAACATTGTTTTCTTCGTCATTACTAAAAACACTATTAATTAACCGAGAGCGTTTTCTTTTTGGCAAGTTATCCTTATCCTCTGAGCATTTTTCTGCATTATCTTCAGTTCTATGCTTTACCTTTTGCAAAATGTATGTAATTTTAGATTGCTTGCTTCTAATTAAAAGGTCTTTTTAAATTTCCTTATATGGTGCTAAGCACTTATGAAGAGTAAAGCAAGTATGAAATAAGGGAAAAACATTTGGCAACATCAGAAGCAGAAGCATCGAGATCTGGCAACATGAAACAAGTTTCGAGAAGGACCACGTGTATCAACAGAAGGCGAGAAGAGAGAATTTACATATATAAGTACTAATAGTTCACGAAAATAATAATTTTTGTGAACTATTATTACTTAAATATGTAAAAATGTATTACATTTCCTGTTGTATGAGGGTTTTACCCAATTCTCGAACCATGTCAGAGTGAATCCGTGNATCTAAAAAATTGTTTGAACATTATATTTTGAATAAAATATTTTGAACAAATTCAAATATTTGGATTTATTGTTTTTGAGTTGCCAGAAAGGGGGAAAATGATTAAATTAATATTAATTGCCAAAATGTGTACTATATGTGCCACTATTTACTTTCCTTCTGTATTATTTACACTTTATACTGACTAAAACTAACTCTCTTCTCTTCTTCCCTCTGGGGTATGGAATTTCCAAAATTTCCTTCTTAGTTTGCATTCTCATGACGTACCCTACTAAAACGCAGTTAAAAACACAAGAAAGTGCATCTAAAATAGTACAGTAGAAGCTGAGTTCTTCAGGATAAGCCTTAATTCACTCCCTCTCCCCATGGAGAGGAATTTTGAAAAACCCCTTCTTAGTGTAAATTGTCGTGACATACCCTAACTGTGTTCCAAATTTCAACTTTTAATTCCTAACCATTTGGGCTCTGTGCTTCTTATTATTATCATAATCAACCCGGTCTTGATTATATTATAAGATTAAGACTGCTAATAACAATAATAATAAGCTCAGAGTTCAAATGGTTAGGAGTTGAAAGTTGAAATTTGATACAGTTAGAATACATCATAAGAATGTACAGTACACTAATAAGGGATTTTTTGAAATTCCTCTTGCAGGGGGAGAGGGAGGATTACCCTGAAAAACTCGCATTTCTACTGTATTATTTTATATGTAATTTTTTGCATTTTTGCAAAAAATCAAACATACTTTTGGACCCATCTAAAAATTCTCTAATTAGTCTCAGAAGAGGGGGGAGCTAATCCTTGCACCCAATGAAAACGGTTAAGATTGGTTATAGTTTAATAATCTTAATCTTCGTTATCATTACTTTTTGTCCAAGCAACATCTGGCTCATCTGCTAGTTTTCTTTTTTATAAAACTTGTCTCTACCCTCAAAATTAAGCTTGAGTTTAATATGAGTACAGACAGAAAAGGAAATCTTACAAAATTTGAAGATGATATTTACTATGCACTGAAAAAAATAAATCACATTGACCACTCTTCAAGTTTGAATGTTAAAATGGCAATACTGCACTATCCAGACATTATCCAAGATACAGCATTGATTGTCACAACATTGCCACCAACCAAGTTTCGGTAGAGCATTTATTTTCTGCTCTTAAAATTATTAAATATGATTTAAGAGCTTCAGTGAATGATGACTTAATAGAAGTGATTTATTTTTGTAAGGAGTAATTCAGTTTATAACAGAGATGAAAAATAATACATTAATCAACATGGCAAAATAAGCAACCTTTTTCTTTACCAGTCTAAATGTTATATTCTTGGCTTAGTTTAATGTATCTGTATACAGTAGAGCGTTGTTTATCCGAATCAATTGGGGACTGGGGTTGTTCAGATAACTTATTTTTCGGATAACCAATTATGTACAAAAAAATATATTAATTTATCCCGTGTTGAAATTTTTCTCCGTTGCGTGTCGCTTCGCGTTGAATTTTCATCGATGTTAAGCCTAATGAAGACTATTGTATCGTTAAAAATTATTTTTTTATTTTGTACAAACAAAATAAATATATTGAAAAATATAAAAACAATAAAAAATTATACTTCAGAAGTTAATTTAGTATCAAAAACGTAAAATATTTGAGTACCCGAAGACATAGCCAAAGATTACAGCGCCACAGCACTGGCAAAAATTTAAATTTGTTGACTGGAATTCCTTCGGATAACCGACGTTTCGGATAACCGACGTTTCGGATAGTCGACCTTCGGATAAATGACGCTCTACTGTACTTATATATTATCCAATATATTCATATATTATGTACAACATTTTTATTAAAGTAATTTGTTGGTGTATGAATGTATTTTCTATTTTTATTCATACATGCATACCAAATACTGAATAATTTGACACATCTACTGAATATATAAATTCATATTTATTGACTTCTTTGCCATCATCAAACAAGTCAATAAATATGAATTTATATATTCAGTAGATGTGTCAAATTTTAATGTTTAATTAGTTTTTTAAAATCATTTTATTTTGTATTTTTAAAAAATAATCAGAATCGTCATTATTACTTTCCCGGCAGTTATACAGTATAGGCCTATAACATTGGAAAAGAATGATGATCAGTCAAAAAATGACTTTCCCAGATTTTTACTCTTTTGGACTCAAGAAGCCTTGAAACTTAGAGAAGTGCAAAAGCATTCTGGGTTTTTCTGTACGCACAGATGTTAGAATGTGTACCAACCAATTTAGTTCAACTATTTTGAAGCTTAATAACTCTGTGTTAAACCATCTGACACTGATTCAAAATTTGCCTCCCATACAGTCTAACATTCGTACATAAAAAAAAAATCTTTTACATATCTCAAGGTGTTCTGCATATCACATTTTGAGGGGTTCTGAGTCCAAAAATGCAAAAAGTTTGGGGTGGGATCATTTTTTTACTGATCACTACACTTTTCCTCTGTTATATATAACAGCTGGAAAAGTAAAAATTATCGAATACATATTTATAAATTGACTATGTCATTACTTAGAGGAGTATTTTAGCTTTGGAATAAAAAAGTTTCTATGTTCTATCTTTATTAGAACTATATTTATTGAAGCTTATATTCTGAGGTCACATGATGACATAGGAATTTTCAGGTCTACTTTGTTAATAAGTCCACCCCTGGTCGGAGTCGAAGTCGAATGATAAGGAAAAGTTGGAGTCAGAGTCGTGTAAAAATCTACCAACTCCACAGCCCTGCATTTGGCATACTGTACAGATATATGTAAATCTCGGATAATTCAAAGTTGTGATTATTCCATCCCTTGAATTTTGTACTAATGAAGATTTCCTGTATTATAAATCTGTTTCTGTAGGTATCCTTAATTATTTTCTTTAAAGTTTTAGTTCAATTATATAAATTTTACTCAAACTGGCAGTAAACAATAAATAACACTGGTCAACATGAAAAAAAATATTTCCAAGTTTAAAATGGTCAATTCTTATTAATTTTCATGTAAGAAATAAGATTGTAACATTTAAACTCTTATCTAGATCTTAATTTCATAAAAAACAAAAATTTCCTCTTTAATGAAACATTCAGGTTTTGTTAAAGAAATTTTGAGGTGGCAAACTGAGTTCTTATTTCAAGAAAATCTTATTCCAAGGAAAGCCATTTTGGTTACAGACTTTCTTTATTGCACTTACAGAAACCTACATCAAGCAAACCTTCAGTTATTTCTAAATAATTTCCTGTGTTTCAGGTTTAATCAAGAGTAATTTTCAATCAAAACATCACACTCAGCAGAGACTTAATTAATTAAATTAATACACAATCCCCACAAAGCACCTTAACTTGCTGAGATTATTTCTATACAAACTAACGTTTTCTACCTATTCAATAGGCCATCCTCAAGTTTTACATAACCTTTGAAACAATAGTTACAAAGTGTTCCAAAATAGAATGTCGAAAATTTAAACTAAAAAAAAAAAGGGAGAGAGAGAGAGAGAGAGAACTACCAAAATGTAATACATAAATATAGCAAGTAACATCAATCTAACAGAAATGTAAAAATAAAAGTACAGTAGAGTCTCGAAAACTCTGCACTCGATAACCCGACAGTCCGGATAACTCAGCCACACCCTGGTAGGGCAAAAAAAAAAAAAAATCCTTAGTTAATTAATTTTCATTATAGACAGCTTTATGCCTCAAAGTATTTTTCTGAGGTCTGTCTTATCAGGTAAATTACTGTACACAGTGTATTCATTAATTTTCATTTTCATGTAGTAAAGGCTCTATGCCTTCATAACGGACGTATTTTCCTTTGTTTAAGGGTATTTGGGCAGTTTATTCTCTGTTGTATTTTCAAGTAAACAATACATACAAGTACAGTACAGTATTTTTTGAGGAAACACTCATACTTATTTTTTTTAACCCCATTTCCAATAACCCGGCATTTTCACAAACTCAGTCACCCTTCGGTCCACATTAGGCCGAGTTTTCGAGACTCTACTGTATAAGATGAAATACAACAAAAAAATAATAGTGAGTGAGGTAAATTAGGAGCTTCTAAAATACTTCTTTTTAAACCATGTACTGTACTTCCAGGCAGATGGTAGTCTGCATCTCTTGCATTAATACATATATCTTCCAACTTGTCCCTATAAATTTCAATCTTTTCAGCATTTGTTGGCAATGTTGGAGAGTAAAAAATTTAATTATATCTGCCTCATCCCATTTTACCACTGATCCTTCCAACTGTGCCATTTGAGAAAGTACAGTACAGTATTGTTTGACCTCTTTTTTAAATAATACTTATGCTCTTTAAGCTTAACTCCCAAACTACTTGTGGTAACCCCAATAAAACTCTTTTAATAACAAATATTGCTGTTTTCTCTGTAAGTGGGACAACTGGGATAGGTCTCACATTATATTAAAAAAAATAGTCTGAAAGGAAAGTGATAGTCTGGAAACAAGAATATCCAGTGTATTCCTTTAATTGTCTGTGATAACATCATACTGCCACCTACCTCTACATGTTAAACTTGGGCTTATGAAAAATTTTATGAAGGCAATGAATCAAGAAGGAGAAGCTTTCTACTATTTAAAGAAAAAATTCTTACATCTGAGTGATGTTAATATCAAGGAGAAAATGTTTGTTGGCTCACACATTTGTGAACTGTTTAAGGATGAAACCTTTAATAAAGTTACTCAAGGGAATGAGAAAGCAGCTTGGAAAGCTTTCAAATCTGTCGTTCACAATTTCTTGGGTAATTGAAGAGCTGAAACTATGATGCAGCGGTTAATAAACTTCTGATAACATATCAGGAATTAAGTTGCAACATGTCACTTAAAATACAATTTCTTGATTCCCATCTTGACTTCTTTCCAAGCAATTGTGGTGCAATAAGTGATGAACATTTAGAGTGCTTCCACCAAGCCATTTTAACAATGAAAAGAAGGTATCAGGGCAAGTGGAATGCATCTATGCTTGCTGACTATTGTTGGAATATAACAAAAGATGCTTCAGAAATAGACTACAAATGAAAAACAAAATGAGAAACATTTAAGTAGGTCATACACATACTGACAAAAAAATTTATGCACCAAGAAAGTATTATCCAACTGAACAAAATTTGGTACATTTATTGTATATACACGCAGAAAAAAAGATCACAATTTTGCAACAGCTAGATAATTTATTCCAGAGAAAGAGCTACACAAAGTGAGGAAGTCAATAAGGCATTTGTCCATCTCTTGCCTGTATACTAGCTGTTATTAGGTGTGCATTGATTCATAAAGATGACAGATGGTCACCTGAGGGATTTCTTGCATGTGTTTAATTGGTGGACTAAGTCATCAGCATTCCCAGACGGTTGTAGGCAATGCCTTATTAGGCTCCAAATATACTCAAATTGGAGAGAATTCTGGTGATCTAACTGGAAAAGAAAGAATGTTGCAATCATGAAAACATTCACTTGAGAGGTGTACTGTTGTTTGGCCAGGCACTGTCTTGTTGGAAAGTATGCCCTAGGCACTGCAAAAGGAATGATATCACAACAAGTCTCAAAATATCATCAATGTATTTCTGTGTTGTGAGGGTGCCAGGGACTACCAGTAAGGGGGTCCGGCTATCAAAAGAAACAGCATTCCAAATCATAACTCTTTGCTGTTGGACCATGTGTGTTTAACAGTAAAAGTGGGATTATGGTAATGGCCAGAATGTCTCCATACACATCTGCACTGGTCATCAAGACGTGATCAAAGCAAGACTCATCACTGAAGATGATTTGTCCTCAATCAGAACAGTTCTATGTTAATTGAGCCTGGCACCAATGCAATAGTTCTTGACAATTCCCACAGATCAGTCACAGCCAGCATAATGGGCATTGTGAGCATATATTTGGCTTGTATAGTCATCTAGCAATGATCCTGATAATCATTCTGGCATTGGTTACATGCTGAATGGTCAACAGTGACAACTCTGGTGCTGTTACAGCTGCTTGACAATCTCTCTGTCTTCCCTCTCTGTTGTCACTCTAGGCTGTCCACTGTCCTCTAGACTGCCTTTCAAGATCCATTTAAGTCAGCATACTTTAACTGCTGCATCACTCTGACCCAAATGTTGGGTGATACATTGATTTGTCATCCACCCTCTTTTATTCTAATGGCATTTCCTCTTTCAAACTCTCATCTAGTTGTAGTGGGCATGAATTTGATGGCAAGGCTTTTCATGATCAAACTCCACTGGAAGTTTGATCCCTCAAAGAAAGAATACACCATCATGATGGGACTTTCCATTGTGCTGTAGCTCAGAACATTCTTTCATCAGGTGCTAATTTTTTTACTGTTTACAGATGGGCAGATCTAGGTTTTTCGGGGCCTAGGACTTATTGAAGTCCAATGTGATCCCATTTTTTGTTAGATTAAGAATCTTTAAATTGGGGTTTAAAATTCTTTTTAATAACATCAAAATCAAAATTGAAACATTTTTATTTATGAAATGGTGTTGAATTACAAACTTTATATCTTATAAAAAAAAATTAAGAAATAAAGAAATATTATTAACAAAAAGAATTCAATTTTGTATGCCCTTGACACGTGGCCCAGGGTTTAAGCCCTATTAATCCGTATGTAGATCTGCCCATGTTTACATACTTGATTGAAAGGTATTTCATTGCAATTGGATTATTTTTTGGGGGTGTTGATTTTTTGTCAAAGAGTATATATCTGGAAACCAAAAGTTAATAATGTCATGTTCTGGTTTCTCACTCCTTTTTAGCTGGAAATGACTATTTTGATAAAGGAAAGAGACAACTTTTAGTTTTTGTTGACCAGTGTAATTCACATTTTATTAAACCAGGTAAAGTTTTAATACAAAATGACAGATACCCAGATAGCAGATATAGTTAAGGTGCCAGCATACTGCTCCTTGGACCTAAGATTGAATCTGAAGGAGCAAAACTTGAAATTTTTTAGGTGATTGATATCAGATATTCCAGGCCCTGTCCCTCATCTTCCAGCTGCCATAATTATGGGCATGAAAGAAAAAGACCTCCAAGTGCCCACAAGGCAGAAAGTGCAAAATAAATACAAAATAATGATTTCAGTTTGTTACATACCATCATCACATTTAATTTCTATTTGATTCTATTTTTAAATTTTTGTTCCAAAATATGATAATGGCCATGTAAATAGTTGAAAATGTTTGTATTAAAACTTTTAGCCAGTTGAATCAATGTAAACTATTTCTTTAGTTTCATTAATTAGATATTTAATTTGGAGTGACATAAATAATTTTATTTTTAATAATAAATAAGTAAACCCAGTTTTAACCAATTTAGCTTTAATATCAACAATAATTTAAAAATGCAATTAATATACAGATAAAATTTCATCAATATGATTTATTGTCTGATTTATTATACTATCCTATAGGGTTTAGCAATTTAGTTACAAAGTATGATCAATTTTACAGTTTAAATTAACAAAATAATAATATTGTTTTAAATATGTGACTGATAAATATCAATAATCATCAATTAATATACCTTTTTCCTTGCTCTCATTTCATTTTCTCTCAACCATTCAAGATACGATTCTCGAGCAACTTGTTCCTCAATAGCTTCATTAGTGGCCTCCCAATCTGTAGCACGAAGTTTGTCTTCCAACATTGCCTTTAAAAAATTTTTCAATAATTAAAAATTATATTTTAATTATTAAAATGTAAAATAAAATGCCACATTCTGATAAAGTGTAACATATCAATAGTAATTTAATCATTTCAAACGATGTCTATAAATCTACTTACTAAAAAACAATCGAGCAGTTGATTTTGAAAGTGGGGCAAGTCCATTTTGTGAAAAAATAGCTAAAGCTAATTCTTATTACAAATTAACAAAAAATTTATGTTTTTAATCAATTCACAATAAATACCTTTTAATATCACTATAAATTTGTTACTAGTAATTTATATCGTCAATGATATTTATAGTGAGTTGATTTTGAAAGTGAGGCAAGTCCACCCTAAAGAAAAATATGAAGATATAATGGATTTATTACCCTATGCACCACCCATTTATCATGAATACTTTAAAAATCTGCACCATCTAAACTAAGAAATATAATTATATACAACTTATTACTTAATTATTTTCTCCATTTTTTCTTAAAAAATTAAATTTATTTTTTGTTTCATTGTAGCTTTTCAAAAAAGTATGAAATATTGAAATAAAATAAATAAGTAAATAAATAAAATATTCAATTTTTTGTCATTGTAACTATATTCCATTCAAAGAAAAGCAATGTTTTCAATAAATCATTGCTTTTGAAAGTGAGCCAAGTCCATTGGTGCATACCAATACCGCGATTTTTTTCACCCAACACAGATAGCCATTATTGCATATTAAATTTACACAAAATAAAACCAAAATAATATAAAATAAGTCTATTACTACTTACGAATATTTTTAAACTCATTGAAATGCAAACCATTAAATATATAGCAATAACATAAAATGGACTTGACCCACTTTCAAAATCAACAGCTCAATTAATACTTTGCACATATGATCTAATTTATGATGCACAGTTTATTTATGATGCACAGTCAATTTATGATGCACATATGATCTAATTTATGATGCACAGTTTGATTCACAAAAATCAGTACAGAGTTCAGGTAAAAAATAATAATAATTTTGCAACAAATTATGTTTTTAATGCAATTAAATGGCATTACTTGAATAAAAAAATATATATATATCTGAGTGAAACATTTAAATGCTTTTTATGTAGTGAAAAGAACTGGTCAATGTATTCTTAAACAATATATAGAAAGAGACTATTTCCCTATAAAAATCAACAGATTGTTCTCTCTCACTCTTACTCAATGAAGACAAAGTACTGAGAAAAAATGATATATTCTAAATACTAAAACTATTAATGGATTTGTATCACGAGTAGTTAAATATTTCACATGATTTACATTTATCTTATTTCTTTAAATCTTATTTATTTATCTTTTTTTTTAAATCTGATTTCATTTTACAGTATAGTTTCAACAATAATAATCTAATACTCATATAATCATTTAATTCAGTGGTGCCTAAATATGACCCTGAGTTCAAACCCAATCCTCAAACAAACTTACAAAGGACAGAAGTAGGTCTACTTTTTTGATATACAGAATATATAAAATATTTGTGGCCCATTTACTTATGACTCCACACAATTTGGCCCACTAATCTAAAAGTTAATGCACCAATGATTTAAATTAATCTCATTTTAAAAGTTGGTGTAAGTTTTTCTTTCTTGAAACCAGAAAACAAGAAGAGTTAGAAAATTTCAGTTTCTCTTAAATATCGCAATAAATACAAAAATTGTACCTCTCACTTCTATTTATTACATGTATATTAATATTGTATTGTTATTTGTTCATGATTATAATTATTACTGATAATTTGTTAAAATTATCAGTAATAATTTGATCTGCTACAGCTCTATTTTTCAATTTATTTTTCAACCACATATGCGCAGAGCAGAGGCGTTCCTATGGGAAGTGCGGTCTCAGGCGACCTTTGTGAACTGGTAATAAGACAGCTGGAAGATAAAACAATTCCTAATTTCTCCCACAACATCTTATTATACAAACGATACATAGATGACATCATTATTTTGTGGAAAAATGACCCAGACATCACCCACTTTATTAATCAGATGAACGACAATCTGTAAGGCCTTACCATAGAGCTGGAGCAACATAGTGATAAAGATGTACATTTTCTTGATTTGAGCATTGCGATTGGAGGAGACACCTTGGAAACTTCTGTATACCTCAAAGCTTGTCACTTCCCAATGTATATCCCAGCGAACTCCTGTGACCCATTCAGATATAAAATGGTGGCCTTTAAAGCACTGGTTAAGAGGGCCCACACCCATTCTTCAACTCAGGAGGCATTAGTTCAAGAATTGAACTATCTGCTTAACATCGCCGGTCAGCAAGGATTCTATAACATTGTCCATAAATTAGCTCAACAATACAGCATTGGTCTACCACCGCCACAGAATGGGAATAATATAGAACAAGACCAACCCATCACAACAGTCACATACAACCCCTTCCTCGTATCCTAATACCAAAAAATCGCTAAAAAACAAGGATTACGACTGTCATTCAGAAGATGTCCGTCTATGTTTAAGCTTTTACGCAATGAAAAAGATAAACCTAAGGAGGATAAGATGCCAGGGGTATACGCTGTTCCCTCGTGGACCACAGATTTGAGAGACAACTGATCTACATTGGTGTTACTAAGCGTTCGATTGATGTCCGATTGGTGGAACACAGAAGTGACATCATCCACAACAGGGGTACTACTTCATTATCCATGTATGCTTCGGACCCGGAAATTTCGGTAGACTTTGATAACGCCATACTCCTCATTACCACTCCATTTACGGACCACATCAAATGGTTGGAACAAATGGAGATCTGCAAGGCATTCAACACGTCTGAACCTATTAACTCGAGGGATGAAATTACCCTATCCCTTGCATGGCAGGCCCTACTACAGAAAGAAGATATGCATTAATAATACGTTTCATAAATAGGGTTTAAACATCATGCATACGAATATGTAAACAGAACATTTTTTATATTATTTTTTATTGAGTTTATTTACGGAATTCGGGAATGAACGTGATTCACATTAACGTTGAATTTTGACTTTTGAAATGTTGTTCGGAAGAATAATTTTTTGAATTTCGCAATTTAATGGTCTTCGTTCATATTTATTCTAAAGACAAATCGCTGCTTGAGAAAGGTCCTAGGGAAGGAACCGAAAACGTTTGCAGTTCATTTTACAATTATTTAATACCGGTTATTGGTTTTGTTAAGTGGTTATTTTTATATTTTTGTTAAAATCATTTTAACTTAGTTAAACTAACCAACAAATTTTATTACTAATTATTTTCTCAGATTAGATTACACAGTAATTTCATAACTGTTTTAACTGTAGAAAAAATGTTTATCATTAACTAATTTATCTCAATTCAACCATAAAAACCATATCATCAAGAATTATTTACTACTTTGTATAAAAAAATGGATAATTCTATTTTGTAACATGTTTTAGATCTAGCACTGTAATCAATAGATAGACAGTTTTTTTACTCCAGTTTTTACAAAGAACTTGAAAAAACATTTTGGAATGAATTGCACATAATTAAATATACCTCAGATTCATACTGTGCCACAACAAAAAGATTGAACTTTATGCTAATATTTGGTTGGACTAATGCTGCTTTTGTTATAACTTTTAACCCTCAAGACAGAAATTTGACAAGATTCTGAAATACCACTTCACAAATTTCCAATTGCTTTTGATCAAATTTTTGTTCCATAACAGCCAAATTCTTGACATTGTGTCATTATGTCTAATCAAGCATTCCAGTGTATTCCAAAGATGTTCAATTGGATTGATGTCTGGGATATGTGAATTGGTCTCCACATAGCACAGAGGTTTGAAGTCTATGTCATACGGTGTGAAATAAGCACAGTGAACATGAACTTTATTGTCCTGAAGCATACAACTTAAAAAGAACAGAAATTAGAAAAATATAAACTGAAATACAATTGGAACATTGTAAATTTTAGACATCAACATTCACAGAATGCAGAAAGAATATCCATTTACACAGGGGTGCACAACCTGCGGCCCGCGGGCCACATACGGCCCCCTATCAATGTTTATGCGGCCCGCGGACGGTACAGGTCAAATCCCTTCTTTCAAAGTTTCTAAGTGTAGAACTTTCCCTTTCACAAAGTCATTAGCACCCAACTGTTTTATGACTTTCCCTGAAGTGAGAAATGGGGGATTGTTCTATAAATAAGTTTATTTCTAGCTAACATTTTCTGGTTTAGATATCGAATATTTTAAAATGATGTTAGAATGTCATTTCTGATGTTATCAGGAAGTTTCTATTTTGGCGGGAAATCTTCAATTTTATGCTTCAGAAAACTTGCCTATTCGTCTAAATAGCGTCAAATAACAAAAATAAGTGAAAATAGCGCTGAAAAACCATGAAAATAACGATTTTTTAGTATTTGTTTACATTCTAGATTCTGATTGGTATAGTCGAATTTGAATCAATCTTTTCTGAAAAGACGCTTATTCGTCAACCTAATGNAGAAATATCTGCTTTAATAGCCAAGAATGGGAAACCTTTCACAGATGGCGATATGATAAAAAAGTGTCTTATCATCGCAAGTGAGATGTGTCCTGAGAAAACAGTGTTTTCAAACAATCAGTCTTAACCACATGACGATACTACAAAGAATCTCACAAATTGCATCAGACATCGCATTAATCACTTGGAGGTCCGGCCCCCAGTCAATAAACTTAATCCTAATTTGGCCCTTCTTCAAAAAAGGTTGTGTATCCCTGATTTACATAAAAAAAAAAAAGAAAAAAAAAAACATGTTTGAGCAATGACAAATGTTTTGGCTCTCTTTATAGGTATGTCTTTATATGAATTAAACTCTCTTCCTGCTTTGATTCTATTAAATTGAATAGCCACTCAAAATGTCTAGTAATATATGTTTCAAACTTCAAAAAGAAAAATAAATTGTATTTTAATTTATATTGTTCTATTCTTTTTAACTTGGAATGATCACATG